TGCACACATTAGAATCATATATTCATCATATATTTAAGTAGATTTATGTCTGTGTACATTTGTATTCACATATTTATATTATATATGTACAATATGTATGATATCATAGAATGTCATTTATATTCTGGTTTATCCATACCTCGAAATTTTTTTCTTTTGAACAAGTGGCAACTATGGGCCACGCTTGGCAAGCAGTTTATTTTTCAGTCGTTCGTTGTAATTTATTTCCCTCTGTCGCCTATTACGACACCCAGGGGATGATATGGGATAGTGGATATTCTTACACCGTTAGGATAATCAATAATATAAAAATGAATCGCTGAATGTGTTGCTAAACGCAAATCTCGAGAGCAGCTGAACCGATTTCGCTAATTCTTTTTTTGTAATATTCCTTGAAGTACGAAGATCGATCTTACGGGGAGAAAATTTTAAAAAATTGCCTGGTAAAGTCTAAAAACAACATTTTTCTATGTTACCATACAAGAGATTCGTAATAATACTTAAAAGTCAATTTGAACTTTAATACCATACCATAAAGTTTATGTGTTAGTGGAAGGATTCCGGTAAGGCAAAACAATTGAGTGACGTTAGTATACAATTATTATATGCTAATGTATCGTATCGTATAAATATTTGTCAATATTTATACGACGGTAACATTGCGGTACGAAGTTCGCCGGGTCAGCTAGTTGCTTTATAATTATTCTTTGGGCACATTGCAAGCCTCTTTTCTATGGATCGTTCAATGAAGATGTTGGATTCTGAATATAATGATGTTGTTCTCCAAAGCGAAGTTTGGTTAAAGCAGGCAGCCTTAAAGAAGTATAGCCATCGACGTGGGATGGAATTATAGTACAAGAATGTGTGTATGAGTTCAGGTCACTTTCATAGGCTATATACTTTCATAGGCATTCTATATTTAAAACCTGTTTTAAAACAAAATAACAGTTCAACTTTCTTTCGAACAGTTTAAAGCTTTTTTCATTTTAAGAAATTCCAAGTTGCTGAATATGTAATGCCATTAAAAACATAACTTGTAAAAAGTCTCGCAATTTAGTTCTTCTACTTGGTATTACAAGGATCTCAAAAGTTTTTACGGTAGAAGAACTGAATTGCGAGACTTGGTTTTTTTTACAAGTTATGTTTTTAATGGCATCTCATTTCTTTTTGTAGATAGTTATATTTAGGTACCTATCTACACCTATTATTCCATTATATTATACATACATAGATACACTGATTCATTCAGTGCAAATGTAACTTTGTAATCCTATGTATTTATATAAGATTACAAAGTTATTTATGCAGTTGGTGTATCTCGAAAACTGGACCGAAATTGCAAAATATTTTAATTTTCCCTTGATCTATGTACTAAACAATAATTTTATTCCAAATTTGAAGCTTTTATGTCTGCTAGAAGTGCCTTAGAGTTCTGATGATCGGTCAGTCAGTGAGTGACAAAATTAAGAAACTTTGACTAGTTATAATTCTTAAGCTACTGATTCAAACTCAATGAAATTTGAAATATATCGAGTTTATACAATGCCTACTTGGTTACTGAAAATTTAAGCTTCTAGTTTTATCAACAACGAAGTTACAGGGTTTCGAAAATGGCCTGAACTGCTTCGAGAAAAGGATGGTACGCCCGTGCCGCTTTTTTGTATTGCCCCCAGATGTATGTTATAAAACTAAATATGTGCAACTCGTATGTAATAAAAGTAATCATAACGGAGAACGAAACGTTTCTTCAATACAGGAAACGTGCATTAGTCCGATGTGACGATAATCTGACACGACCGGAGATCAGGTCCAACACCAACGACTTTACCTACGTGCTTTCGAGGTGCGGGGATGAAGCACCGTCATCTTCTTGACTCCGGGATATTACTGAGAATTTCTTGACAAAACACAATAACTGATTTACCCGCTATTCAAACCCGGGACCAAGTGAGCAGCATCCGCATTATACTGAACCAATGAGGTCGTACAAATAATAACACTTTTTAGTAAAGCGAGTGTACACAGCCGTTATTGGCATGCAGATCAGAATATCTTTAGATCTTTCTTTTAAGCTATGCAACCTATATATATTGTAACACCGTGTATAAAATGCCGTAAGGTGTTACAATATCATATCATAATACAAAATTTAATGCTAATTATTTCAACTACATGAGACTCTACGCGGAAGACATGGTCGAATATGGAGACAGAGTTGTCTCCATTCGACATTTTATGTTAAATATAGTATTACCTGTATTAGTACAGAACATTGCGAAGAAAACAAATTACCTATGCTTTTTATTGAATAAAGGCAACAAACGAGCAGACAGTCTATGTGATGGTATCTACACTGTCCTCGATTAAGTATCAAAAATGCAGATGCGTTGTCATCCCTAAGGACTAAGATGGAATGCCCCGTTTAGATTAAAAAAAAATTTGAATTTATATTTTATTTATAGGCATATTTTTGCAGCTATGAGCCCTTATTATAATACAGTCAGGCTTTTTTTTTATATAGGAGAGGGTGCAAACGAGCATGCGGTTCACCTGATGGTAAGTGACTACCGTCGCTCATGAACAACCGCAACACCAGGGGAGCCAGGGAAATCGCAGATGCGTTGCCGGCCTTTCAAAAAGGAGTAGGCTCTTTTCTTGAAGGTCCCTAAGTCGTATCGGTCCGGAAAAATCGCTGATGGTAATCGATTCCACAAGGAAGTCGTGCGAGGAAGAAAACATCTTCTAAACCGCACAACGGTGGACCGCCAATCATCCAGATGGTGTGGATGCTATCGGTTCTGCCGCGATGTGCGTTCGTGAAATTTGGCGGCTGGGATTAATCCGAACAATTCCTCAGCGCACTCCCCGTGGTAAATGCGAAAGAAAATGCAAAGGGATACAACATCTCTTCGCAGTGCCAATGAATCGAGCCGATCGGAAAGGACTCGGTCGTCGACGATTCGAGCTGCTCTGCGCTAGATGCAGTCAAGTGGAAGGAGCTGGCACTGGGGAGCCCCTGCCCAGAGATGGGAACAGTATTCCATGTGAGGCCGAACCTGCGCCTTGTAAAGTTGCAGGCGGTGTGCCGGCATGAAATACTGTCCGGCTCTGCAGAGCACGCCAAGGTTTTTAGAGGCCAATTTGGCCTTCTCTTCCAAGTGACCACGAAACTGCATACTGATATGTCGACTCCGAGGATTCCGATACGGGCTGAGGCAAGAAGGGGAGTGCCTTGAAACTGAGGAAATACTACGAAGCGGTTCTTTTTGGCGGTAAACGAGCTTGGTAGCACACAGCCTTGTGGAACACCAGCGTTAATAGGCTTGTAGTCGGAGCATGCACCGTCTACGACGACCTTGATGCTCCGATCAGCAAGCAAGCTGGTGATCCAATTGCACAATTTCTCGGAAAGCCCATAGGAAGAGAGCTTCGAAAGAAGCGCTTTGTGCCAAACCCGATCGAAGGCCTCCGCAATGTCCGAAGTAACGGCCAACGCCACCCCCTTGGACTCTACTGCCTCCGCCCATCTATGAGTCAGGTAGACCAGAAGATCACCAGCTGATCGACCCCGACGAAAACCGTATTGGCGGTCACTAATCAGCTGGTGATCCTCAAGGTACCGCATGAGCTGGCAGTTAATAATGGATTCCATTATTTTGGAGAACAAGGAGGTAATGGCGATAGGCCTGTAGTTGGACGGGTCTGAGACGGATCGGGTGGACAAAAGCTTTCTTCCATGACTTCGGGACTACGCCTAGGGTGTAGGAGTACTGGAAAAGACGCATTAGGACTGGTGCCAACTCCGGAGCACACGTCCTCAGCACTATTCGGGGGATTCCGACAGGCCCACTCGACTTCTGGATGTCCAGGGAGAGGAGTGCTTTGCGAACCGAGCGCTGTGAGAACCGCACATCCGGCATGGAGCACTCACGCCGCGGGATGGTCGGCGGTGTTTTCCCCCCGTCGTCAAGAGTCGAATTGGACGCAAAAAAGGGAACCTAAAAGGCCGGCTTTGTCTTTTGCGGCTTGGGCCAGTGAGTCGTTCTCCCTGTGCAGAGATGGTAGTGATGGTTTACAGAAATTCCCTTGGATAGCCTTGGTGAGAGACCAGAATGCACGGGTTCCCGAAGGAAGGTGAACTAGTTTCTCGCCAATTCTGCCTAATGTGCTCTGAATTTGCCTTGGCAATAACTCTTTTGAAGGACCTGGAGGCGAAGTTATACTTCTTTTTAAGTATGCTGGTGTGTACATCCCGAGTCGCCGAAGCCGCAGCCCAGGCTTTATAACACTCCTGCTTACTGCGTAATGCAGTCTTACAGGAGCGACCAAACCAAGGCTGAGATCTGCCTCCGATGGGTAACACAGATGATGGAATCAATAGTTCCATTCCCTGTAGCACCACATCTGTGCCAGAGTCAGCAACAGCGCTGGGATCATCCGGCGAGAAGCAAACCCGCCCCCATGGGTAGGATGCAAATAAAGACCGCATTCAGTCCCAATCCGCCGACCTGTAATGCCAAACACGGCGGCAACCTGCAGAACGCAACCGCGAGAGGAGCGTGAGTGGCACCACACTCCGGATCAGACAATGGTCCGAAGAGCCGAGAGGGGCATCGACGGAAACCTGATATCCGTCCGGATGAGAGGTCAGCAGAAGGTCCAACAGGGAAGGTGTATGATCCTCCACATCTGGAAGCCGCGTAGGCGAAGTAACCATTTGTGTCAGACCATACTTTATTAAAATATAGTAGAATCAGCTACCTTATATTTTTAATGAAGAGTGAAATACATGCTTAATGCTGCTGTGATTCATATGGTCACTTTAGGAAACTGAAAACCTTTTTTACTGATAAGACTGCATTCCATATAGGGGTGAAATCGCATCTACTTTTCAATCCTTAATCGATAGATATAGATGTCTGTGGGTCACAGCATCCACTTACCATCAGGTGGACTGTGTGCTTGTTTGACACCCTTATTCTATAAAAAAGTAGACTAACCTTAAAGTTACCGCCGTTCAGCCAAGTGATAAGCGCGTCTACAAGCTGCGCAGCGAGATCATGCGTGATCTCCGGCTCGCGGCGAACGAGCGCGACGAGCTGCTCGCCGAGCAGCTGCCGCAGCCGCAGGTCCGGCCGGCTGAGCAGCGGCAGCGCCGCCTCCAGCGACGACGGCTGCGGATAGTGCGCCATCTGTTGGACAGAAAACAATATTATAATGTAATGTCAATTAACGCACAAGTGTCTACATTTCATTGTATTTAGCCGTCTTCAAAAATAAAAAGAATTACAATTCGACTGATAAAACATTACGAATAAACATTAAGGACACACGGGAGATGGGCAGCAGCATGTTCCTGATAACAACCAAAGTAATTAAAAACAGCATTTGCCAATGGCAACTATGGCAAAATCCTCCCTGTGGTGCAATCAGTGACGGAAGCTTAAGTTCAGCAGTGAACTTTTTTTATAGGCTGTAATGGGTTAGACACACGTGGTCTGGTCTGCTTTCAATTCCTACATGACGTTCATTTCACAACTCTTCAAGGTTTACGCGTGAGTGTCGTAGGAGGTGATAGAGGGAACACAGGTGATGGGCAGCAGCATCTTCCCAGTAATTCAATATAATAACAAGCCTTAAAACAAAATCCTTCCTATGAGGCAATCTATGGAGAATACCCATATGTACACAAAAATAAAGGTAGTTATACAAAACTAAGTGATGTTCATTCTGCAAATACTAGGAACAGACACTAGTAGAACCAGTTGCTCGACTCCATCGAAACAGTAATTCATTCTTGGGGTGATGTATACCCTTTTACAACAAAATCCCAGAAAATATACAAACTTTGACATGCTCAAAGTTCAAAAACTTTATTAAACAAAGCTTGTATAAAAAGGGTTATCATAATATTAAGGATTTTATGAACGACTAGCTGTTCCTCGTGGCTTCACCCGAGTGTAATTTAGGGTTTTAATTATCTTGCGCGGAACCCTAATTCTTTTCGTAAAATATAAGTAGCCAAGTTACTCCTTATAACATCAGCTATGTGCCAGTGAAAGTCCCATCGAAATCGGTCCAGCCATTTCGGAGATTAGCCGGAACAAACAGACAGACGGACAAAAATTTAAAATTGTGTTTTTGTTATAAGTACCCTATATACTTTCATATGCATTTAGTAAAAAGCTGGTATTTTGAAATTACAAACAGACACTTCAATTTTATTTATTTTTATAGGTAATAACCCCTGGGAATGAGGTGATCGCTAACAAGATATTTCTAATTTAATTTGTGTGGTTAATTGTGATAACATGATTGTAACCTGTTATTTCAAAAAAAAGTCACGCTGGGTTTCTTGCTGGTCCAGGACAGAGGTTTTTTTCGAACCAGCGGTAAAAAGTTTCTGTTTCTGTACCGTATATTCAGCTCGGGACTTTAGATAGGCAATTAGTAGTAGTGCACGCCATTATCAAATAATGTATTGATAATGGCGTGCACTAACTAAAAATAATTTAGCATTTAATGTTTTTCGCATATATAAAGATAACTGCTGCTGAAGTATATGTATTTATACGTGGTAGAACCATGCTGCAGCCATATTAGTAGTATAGTTGTAGCACGAATGGGTCGGCTCGACCGAGGAAGGACCACGCTCTCACAGAATACCAGCGTAAAATAGCAGCTTAACACTGCTGTGTTTCGCGTATGGTGAGTGTAGAGAACCGGAGACCTTTTTACTGGAAAAGAAGCATTCCATCTTAGTTCTCACGGGTGGCAACGCATCTGCATTTTGATTCGCAAACGAGGATAGTTGTCGATGTCTATGGGCCACAGTAACCACTTACCATCAGGTGGACTGTGTGCTCGTTTGTCACCCTATCCTATAAAAAAAGTAAATAGTAAGTTTATGCAAAAATATCATTGTATAAAAGACAACCAAAACCGGCATTCTCTCCTACCCTCCCTAAGTTCTCTACTCCCTGTCAAAATATATGTCGGAGCGTCTATAAAATACCCGGTTGGATCGAGGTAGAATGGAGGGTATATCGAGAAACCCCCTCTTGTGTCTGTAGTATAAAGTTCACTGTAGGTGCCGTGCGCGGGAGATTCCGCTTCAGTCATTCAACGAGTGTGGTCATTCTACTAGTGCTACAATAGTCTTGTGGTAGTGTTCGTTGTTGTAATTCTTCTAGTGCAGACAAGGAGGATTGGTGTTGCCGGGAGGCTGCCCTGTGTTAGATTGAGATAAGTAGTGTTGCTGTTGGTTTACATATTTTGGTGTTATCATGTAATTACGTACCTCACGTTACACTGGTGTGTGATTGTGGCGGAGACGTGTTACGGTGTGGTCGAACTGTAATTTCACTATGCCGAATGTATAGTGCGTTACGTTGTCTTATTACTGATAATGATTAATTGCGTAACCACGAGAGCAAGTTGAACATCCGCTCTCACACTTTTATTATTTTTATCAGTTAACGCTATCCTGATGTATCTCCAAGATCAAAATTCTGTAGTAAATATCCGACATATATAATAAAATCCCTCAGCAAATTAAAGCATTATCTTTCTCAAGATTTAAAAAAGGCATCTATGAATTTCTAGATTGTAAATTTAACAAATTAACCACTATGATTTCACTAATCATGGACATTTTTAATAGTAATTAATAATTATTTGACATTTTTATCCTATTTAATAATAATTAATAATTATCGGACATTTCTATTCTATTTAATAATAATTAATAATTATCTAATGAGTAATTAATAATATACAAATTTTAATTTCAATGCATCTTTCAAAATTTTGTAATTAATAACTTAATTGCCTCTATATAAGCGGGGAAACATGTTTGGCCTAAAATGTATGTAATTAACACCTGTACCTAGTCAGGTCATAAGTATTGTCACATAGTAAAAACTTTTCTTTTAGAATGCTGACCTCAAAAAAATTTATTGAATTTGAATTTCGAATTATTCATGAAAATAAAACTGTATACTTTTTAGAATTTTACTCATTTTTAAATATGGAGTGGACGCTTAAAGAAGACCGTGTTGCAGTTATTGCGTTGCATCGTTGCGGTTACGCGCCAATCACCAAAAGATTCGTTTATCGTACCATCAAACGATACAATGAAGACTCTAGTGTAGATGACAGGTCAAGAAGTGGTCACCCTCGGTCTGTTAGGACTCCAGCAGTGATAAAAGCTGTGAAGGCGCTAATTCAAAGAAATCCCAAACGTAAGCAAAAACTGTTGGCCCTTCAGATGGGGTTAAGCAGAACCACGGTGAAAAGGGTGTTAAATGAAGACTTAGGGTTTCGGGCATATCGAAGAAAAACAGGACATCGTTTGAATGCTCGTCTAATGGACCTGAGATTGAAGAGATGCCGCGCTTTGTTGAAGCGGTACGCGGGAAAAAATATCGGGAAATTATTTTTTCGGATGAAAAAATTTTTACCGTAGAAGAGAGCTACAACAAACAAAATGATAAGGTGTAGGTACACAGTAGTGAAGAAGCGAGCAACCGTATTCCGCGTGTCCAACGAGATCATTTTCCATCCTCGCTCATGGTATGGTTGGGAGTTTCTTATTGGGGCTTAACAGAGGTAAATTTTTGTGAGAAAGGTGTAAAAACGAATGCAGTTGTGTATCAAAATACAGTCCTGACGAACCTTGTGGAACCTGTTTCTCATACCATGTTCAATAACAGGCACTGGGTATTCCAACAAGATTTGGCGCCAGCTCATAGAGCGAAGAGCACACAAGACTGGCTGGCGGCGCGTGAAATCGACTTCATCCGGCACGAAGACTGGCCCTCCTCCAGTCCAGATTTGAATCCGTTTGATTACAAGATATGGCAACACTTGGAGGAAAAGGCGTGCTCAAAGCCTCATCCCAATTTGGAGTCACTCAAGACATCCTTGATTAAGGCAACCGCCGATATTGACATGGACCTCGTTCGTGCTGCGATAGGACGACTGGCCGCGCAAATTGAAGGCCTGTATTCAAAATCACGGAGGTCATTTTGAATAAACTTTAGTGTCATAAGAATCTATGTTTTGTTAAGTTCATTTTGGTATATAAATGGTTACATAATGAATAAACTTGTTTCAATTATTTTATATTAAACATGTGACAGAATTTATGACCTGACTAGGTATTTACCATGTTTGATGCAAATAAAAGTGTTGAATATTTGAATCTTTTTTTACCCGTATCTGATATAACGAAAAAACGAAACGGTAAATATTCCGCCTATGAGATAATCTATGAAATAGGCCCATGTTCAGCAGAGCACTTTGATATGTTGTTATTAAGATAATGAACCGGTTCTTTACATTATTCACTTCCTTTTTTTGTGTTAGTACCATGTAAACTGACAAGCCAATGCCAATTTTTTTTTTTATTTAAATAGCGTGGCACCATCATAATCGATTCAAATGACATTAAATAATGTTTCGCGACACGTTCTCTCACACTGAACGGCAGCCACGTGTGTAGACAAGCCGCCTAGATTGTCCCGTCCGCTCAGCACCTTATATTGTCCATGTGTCAGGCGTGTGAGCCGGTCTTAAGCGCACACATTGAAACTATCGCTGATTCGCTAACTTTATTATATTTTATCCAGACTCATGCATAGGCTATTATGTTTTACTTTATCTTTTATTATGTGTTAGTAATTTATATTATTTCATGTATCTTTTTTTTGCATTTATTATTTGTATATTTATATTGCACCACCTACCACCTACCTATTCATTGTTTGTATTACTTTACACCTTTGGTTGCCTGGAAGAGATCGCTATGTAGCGATAAGGCCGCCAAATTGTACATATTATAATCTGATTTTTGTTATGACATTTGTATATTTGTTCGTGGTGTACAATAAAAGTATATTCATTCATTCATTCATTCATAGGAAAGTTAATATTTTTTGGTTTCATCTTATAAGTTGCTTCTAACGTTTATTATATAACGCCTATGCACTCTACTTATCGCCAGGGATGTTTTCTACCGACTTCAAACAGGAGGAGGTACTCAATTCGATTGTATGTTTTTTGTGTGTTACCTCATAACTTTTTTCTGGGTGAACCGATTTCTACAATTATTTTTTATATTTGAAATCTGGTGCATCTCATGTGGTCCCATATAAATTTGATCAAGGTCTGAGTTATAGTTTTGGAGTTA